GTTCTGATATTTTTCAGCCTTTCCCTTCTCTGTAAGACTTTATACCTCAAACAGGCTCTGCAGGTTTAAATTCAGGTTTAATATTATTTTGGGCTTAATTTAGTTTTAGGCTTTTAAACTTTTTAATATTAAGAATTGCTGAGAGACACCTATTTGTCAGCAATTATATACTGCTGACAACTGTGCCCCTCAGCAACTTTTAATAATAATAAAAACAGCCTAAAAGCCTAAAACCTAGTAAGATAAAACAGTAAGAACAAGAAATGTCTGTATATAGGAGAAAATTAAGAATAAATTTGGGTTAATTGGCCATAATGAACAACTTCGCTAATAATAGTGCTTTCTCATAGCTGTATTTGATAAGTCTGTGGTTTAATAGAGGAACTATTTAATGTCTGATTTCTGGAATAGGTTTAGGGATTATTTTTTATCAGTTACTCCAAACTAATCATTTACTTCGTTTCTTAAATGATTTTAAATATTGGTCTTCTTTTCCTCCCTTCAAATGCTACACTCTTCATTTATCAATTAATTGCAAGCAATTACTTCCTTTGTGTAGCTGTGAAATCTGCCAAGAGCTTGGTGAGTAATGGGGTCTGCTGCTGTTGATCTAAGAATAGCAATGTTAATAATTAGATAAACATAACTAAAGGTAGTTATAAATATGATTGCTTGCTACCCCAGCCCAGCAGATATATATTACTTAGGACCTTAAACTTTGGACCTGATTTATACATCATGGTTATTTTATTCATAACTTGAGGAACAAGTCATAGACTTCATTCATATCACATTAAGACCTGGGTGGAATATATCATAGTTCCAACATTACTCTGGGTTCCCACAACATTAAGCTATAAACCATGATTTACAAAGCCAAAAAGTGATTTAGTTGGATTTGTATTGATAAATCCAGATAGGTGCAAATCTCTTCTGGCTAAAGACTAAAGATTCTGCCTAAAGACTAAAGAGACTCAAGATTTTCTTGAGTCTCTTAGATCAAAGCTATCTTACAAAAACAAATACTTGTTCACCTACAGCTCAGAGTTTACTGTTGGGGTTTGGTTCTTTTTTAGCACAATATATTTAATGAGCACATCCACGGAGTTTCCAGCTCTAAAGTACAAAATGGTTTAATGTTATACTAATGCCTGTGCATGTGTCCTTCCAACAGAAAATGATCCACAGCCTGTTTCTTATAAATTCTTCTGGGGACATATTCCTGGAGAAGCACTGGAAGAGCGTCGTCTGCCAATCAGTGTGTGACTATTTCTTTGAAGCTCAGGAAAGAGCAGCTGACGTGGAAAATGTGCCTCCCGTCATCCCCACCCCTCACCACTTCCTCATCAGCATCTACCGAGACAAAATCTTTTTCGTGTCTGTCATACAGACGGAAGTGCCACCGCTTTTTGTCATTGAATTCCTCCATCGCGTAGCAGATACTTTCCAGGTTGGTCTACAGAATGGTTGTATAGATTTAGGCAGGGGTGGGATTCAAAAATTTTAACAACCAGTTCTCTGCCCGGTTGCTGGGTGGGCGTCTCCATGGTGGGTGTGGTGCGGGAGGGGAGGAGTTTTCACCCTTCCCAGGCTTGGAGGCCTCCCCTGGGCTCCAGAGGCCCTCCGGAGGCTGGAAATGGACTTGTTTCTAGACATCTGGGAGGAGGTTTTTCGCCCTCCCCAGGCTCCAGAGGCTTTCCTCGAGCCTCTGGGTAGACGAAAACGGCCTTCCTTGGGCTTTGGAGGCCCTCCGGAGGCTGGAAATGGACTTGTTTCT